ATTTAAAACCGATTTTGATATTTGAGGATTTTAAAAAACGATATTCTGATATCTTTTTTTCTTCAGAAACGCATAACCTAAACAAAGATTATCCCTAACATAACATGCTTGGAACACAGATGATCTCTGTTGTGCGTTCTCCTATGGTCTGCTTGACTCGGGTCAGCTGATTGCTGTGTTTTGGGGTGGATTTGTGTTGCCGACAGGGAAGTTGTGGAGTGCCCTCTGGTGGATAAACCATGCAGCAACACCACTTATAACATGACAGAAGGGATCCCTCTTCCGTCTATCCGTTTCTTCTTTTAAATTGATACCCATTTATCTGTGATTAGCTCACATCGGTCAATAATGTCGGCACACCGATTTATCGGTTGGGCTCTATTTTAGAGCAATATTTGAACTTGTTTCCTAAGTTAATAACAATCCTATGCTTATTATCTCATAATTTATTTGTAAGCATTTTGGATTATTCTAAATTTGAGTACTCTTTATGTTGAGTGCCCAGAATAAGAATGAGGTAATGGGTTGTCTCAACTTGTCTTTACTGATTCTAACATGGCTCCTGTCTCTTGCAGATAAAGCTGTCATGGCTCCTAATCTGGACTCATTTGGTCGGGACCGCACAGCATACCAAGAGCACGGTCGTCAGAGGAGGATAGCAGAAAGAGAAGCACGACGGTATGAAGCTCACTCATACTCAAAGACATGCTTCCAGGAAATATAGGCTGAATTTTTGTGACATGTTTCTAGGCTTTCATAAGAAGCTCTGAATGTAGCTCGGCTTGTAAAGCATAGGTTTGCCTTGCAAGAGATCCTAAGTTCTGACTTTGATTAAGTCATTTCTGAGCCAAGCTAGTTACTGTTCATCACAAACAATTAATTTAACAATTTAATTGCCTGCCTTTGTACTCGTGTGGGGTGCAGAACTCGGCGGCGACAAGCGAGAGAGCAAAATGGAAAGAGGGCTGAGCATAACGAAGGCTTATCATCTGATGACGAGGAAACCTCTACAGACATCACCAGCTTTAACATGGAGAGAGGTACATCATTAAAGTGCTGGAAAAATTATGTAACACAGACATGACGCACATCATTCTGTATCTCATGCCTAACTAAAGTCGTTTGTTCCGTCCAGATCGCATCATCCGGGAATGCAAGAAAGTTTTTGAGGATGCTGTGGAGGACTTTCACTCTCTTGACTGCATCAAATCTCGTTTTGAAGTGTGGAGAAGAGATTATGCCGACTGCTACAGAGATGCTTACATAGGCCTCTGTCTTCCCAAACTCTTCAACCCTTTAGTCCGCCTGCAGCTGATTACATGGAACCCTCTCGAGGTAAGGCATGCTCGTATGGTTTTAAATGTAACATTTTCCTTTTGGAAATGGGAGGGGTCAATTCTGAGATGCATTTGTCTTTTCTTTTTTTTCATGTCCAGGCGCAGTGTGCAAATTTCGAGTACATGCTCTGGTTTGAGTCGTTGTTGTTTTACGGCTTTGAAGAGCACAGCACTTTGCAGAGAGGAGACGGGGATATCAGCTTGCTGCCTGCTATTGTGGAGAAGGTCATCCTCTCCAAACTGACAGGTAGAGAAACCCGCACAGCTGCACCTAGCATACTAAGATTTACTTGGCATTACAATGCAAGCCAATACAAAATATGTCATATGTATTAATGTTTGTGTTTGTGTGTGTCTGTCAGTGTTGGCAGAGCAAGTGTGGGACCCGCTGTCAAGCAGTCAGACAGCCAATCTGGTGGACTTCATTCACAGACTAATGAAAGGTTACCCCACCGTGCTGCACGGGGACAACCGATACACACAGGTACTGTCCCCTCTCTTACTACCTTCATTAACATAATGTACTTCATCTGCAAAATGAGTGATTACTTTTATTGTCTTTGTGATTTATTTTTTTCTTCTATCAGGAGCTTTTGAAATCTATTGTCTTAAGGACAAGGCGCACTCTTGATGAAGATGTCTTCCTTCCTCTCTACCCCAAAAAGTATGTTACACAATTATTACCAGTGTAGGTAGCCTGGGTTGAATTTCTTCAGTATGTGTGACTTGATAACTAAGTGTGTTTTTGCTTTTTTATTCAGCGTGTTGGAGAATAAGAATAGTGGCCCCTATTTATTCTACCAGAGGCAGTTTTGGTCCTGTGTGAAGGTATGTTTGTGTGTTTTTACCCTAACCACCGATGGTAACGTTTACTTCTGTGGCAGCCAACAGAACTACTTGGATGTTTACGTTAATCAATTATAATGTTGTGTTGCAGTCATCATCTGCGTGAGTACAGTCTAACTCTACCTCTTCCTCTGTGCTTAGCTGCTGGGCAACATCCTGCAGTGGGAAAGTATCTTATCCAGTTCCTGTCTGAGGGATCTCGCTTTGGACAGCACTCTGAATAGATATATCCTCTCTGCACTGCAGACCACAGATACCGGGGAGGACACTGCTCAGAAGTGCCAGAAGGTAGGAGATGCACACTAATCGTTTTGTGGTTTCATTCTTCATGTGTAAATGGGCACATCAGAGCTCATGTAGACAGAGTGCTCATTCAGATTAACTGACTTGTTGTGAAATTACAAGTTTTTGATCAGTTTGTCAACAGGTAATGACAGATATTAAAGCAAAAGGCAGAGGTTTTGTCTGTTTTACTGTTGTCCGTTTCCACACATGTTGAGTGTCAATAAACCAAAGTGTCAATTCATAAACTTCACGGCATATAAATGAAGTCAGGTATCATATTTCACTCTATGCTGAAAGAGATGGGTTGACTTTACAGTTAATGTGTTTTTTATGCTGGATTATCCAAGCATTGTGAACAAAACTTTAAAGCAAATGTACATCCTAGTAGATACCATTGTCATTATAACACTTGACACAGTCTTTGGCTCAGATGTAACAAGCCATGTCAAAAGAGAGCAACAGATAGGGACATGTCTTTTTTCCAGAAGGTTAACAGGGTTTTGTCTGATGTGAGGGAAAATTAAACTTGACTCTTAATCTACATTTACACACCTATTTGTAGGTTTCAGAATTGTACCAGACTGCTTACTGTATTTTATAGCACATGTTGTGCTTACCTTGTCTAAAAATTAAGATGAGTGTTTTTTGTTTTGTTTTTTTAAGCCACCTGAGCAGTGGAAACCGTCTCTCCTGGCTCTGACAGTTTGATGAGAGGTGCTTGTATTTTACTGTACAAGCCTCTCAGGCCAGATCACTGTGATTAGCTGCTCTCTACCTTCCTGTGTGTATTTACAGCTGGCAGCCTTAACTTGACAAACACATCTGCTCAGTTGGTCAAATCTGGCCACCAGCGACTCACTAAACAGGGTGACACAGAGCTAGTGTTTAATCCCTCCTCGTCTTTTCTTGTACCTTTTTCAGGTGGTTGAGTGTTTGCCAGTGCAGTGGTTTGCTGGGCTGAAGGGCCAGCAGACTTTGCCTCAGTTGGAGCCATTCTGTCGCTACCTAACCCACCTGGCCAGCTCATTGCACCGCAGCAGTTTGGGCGGGTCTGATGTGGAACGGCGCACTGCCAAGTAAGAGGCTCTACTAGGTTCTGCATGTACTGTGGTTTTTTTTTAGTTTTTTTTTTAATCTAAATTGGGAATGTGAATTAAGTTATAGCTCCATCTGCTGGAATATTTTGGAAGGTTGGATTGTTTTGTTTTTGCACAATTGCACAACACACTATTGTCATGCTGAGAGTTTTGTCCCTACTGCTTCTAATATAACCCATATCTTCCAACAGAGACCAAATCAAAGAGGTTGTGAAGATGTTGGGCCACATGAATGCCCTGGACCACATCATCACTGTGGCAGCAGAACATGGCATTAAAGACATCAAGGCACTTTTGGAAGCCAAGTCGTAGAGACGGACATGGCAACAGCAACTTTTCCTTTTGTTGTGTTGAGCCATGGGATCACTTGAGTTGGATTCCTGCAAATAGTGTGGGTAATTAAAATTTAACAGTTGTTACATTTTACTGAAAAGAGAAGCTAAAAAAAACTCTGTTGTAAATATTGTGAATAATGTATAGGTGTGTTCGTACACATATCAGCATAAGACCATTGCTGAAATGAGGCAGTATATTGTCAGCTCAAAGAGACAACGCAGTTATTCTACATTCTGGCAATATTTTAAATGCGTAATTTATTAAGGGTAAACAATTGACATGAATTTGCTGGCATCTGTTTGGAAAATGTCTGGTCTCTAAATTGACACTATATTAAACCTGGCTGTCTGTAAAATCTGCTTAACCCCCTTCATTTCTCTTGCGTACTGTTATTTTCCTTGTGTGCCAAAAGTTGTCTTTTTTTCTAGTTGGCCAAAAGGTAGAAATTGCACTGGCGAAGACCGACAACCACCTTGTCTCCCAGTATGCTTTGGGGCAGTTGATATGGTTGTTGTTCTTTGATTCCCACTTCATCCCACGGTACTCCTTTGTCACATATGGACTGCCCTGGTGACCCTACCAGCGCTGAGAGATTTGTATTCAGATTTGTATGACTTTTTTTGGTTTTAGTATTTTTATTTTTTTTTGCCTGTGAATAAAGATTTCATTTAAATAATCGCTGTGTTGTTGCAATTAAGTGAAAACTGTGTCTACTTATGTTGTGCAACTTATGACCATGAAAGCGACAAACAAACCAAAATTATTTATAACGTTCCTTACTAACATTTGGGATGAGGCCTAGAGTGAAAGAGAATCTTTACTGATTTGAAAGTCTTCTGGATGCTCTGTTGTGTTTTTTTACTGGAAAGTGAGCAACTATGACTGCTTTCTATGTTAAAGTTCTCCAAGCTCCTAAGTATGACAAAGCTGTTCTGATTTTTTTGATGATTTAATGTGACATATTCACAAGTGTGTTGATGGTGATTTTCAGCCACTTGCTACATGTGGCAATTTGTCACTAATGAAGTTTAAGCCCTGATGCCTATTGCACAACTGTAATGCAGGGGCGGAGCTGCTTCTTCCTCCGTATCCCCTCCTCCATCTGAAGGCATTAAACAGCAACCCAAAATCTTCAATACCTTCTCACCACCTGCGAAGAGAGACATAACTTTGGCTGAACACCGTGTGTGAACGCTGTTTTGGTTTCGTCAACTTGCTATTTTCAGACCTCAAGGAAAGAGTGTCTATATTGGATCTCTGCTTCATGCGCTCCCGCAGGGTATACAAGGTAAAGAACCACTCATACAACAGTTGCATGACGCTACATTGGACCCAGCATGAACATAGTACTGCAACGTGTAATTCCTAACTTTGTAGTATCTGTACCCCAGGGTAGATTGTTACCAGATTACACACACCAGCTAGAACGCAGTGGGGAAAAGCGTTTTCGTGCGTAAAGTGGAGTGAATGCGTGAATCCATGGAAGTGAACGCACCTTCGCTGTAAACCACATGTTTTCCTCGGACCCCATTTTAAATACTTCATAGTAAGTGCTGCCGTTTCCTGCAGCATGCCTGTAGTGTGGATGCGGCTTCTAAAGCCGAAGAAATATCATCACAACCTTTTCTTTTTCATGCAACTTGCACCTCAGCTATGCACAACAATATGTATAGTCTGTGACTATGATCATGTAATATGAGAGAGGTGATTCCTGGAGTGTGGTGAGACTGGCTTTGACCGTCAGGAGCTGCAGTGTACTGCCAAAAGAGGACTGGAGTGAAAGTAGCAAGTGGCCACACAGTAGACGAAGACATCTAGAGCAAATAGCAAGTCAGAAGTGGAAAAAGTACTCACCACAGTAAACTAACAGTACCATTAAGGAAAAAATCAATCATTTAAGAAAGTGTGAAGAATTCCCATTCAGGGTTAAATTATTGTACTCCCAACTTATATCAAAGTAAAATTGTTGCATATTTTAAAACCTAACAATTCAACATTTCAATGTCCAATGTTTTGCAGGTAAAACAATAATATAAAGTAAGCCTGAAATGTAGTTGAGCAAAAGTATGACAGATTACACAGTAATAGAGTCAGTATGCTACACTTTCCTCTTCAGGGAAAGTGGACAGGTCAAGCCTACTATATCCTTTTCATGTTTCAGTAAAACATACACCAAGAACAGTGTAAATCATCATAGTGTTCGAAAGATAGAAAGCCTGCAGTGATCCAGTTTGATGGATAGTTTGATGGAGGTGTGATGCAACCTTATGACTCTCACCCAAGTTTGGCGTTTTAAAAAACACAGCTAGAAAAAAACATAGTGTCAGCCTGTTAACATTGTTCTGTGAAAGCAAAATCTTTGTAACAAAAAGACATAAATTATTGCTAAATTAACAACTGACTGTGTTTTTATATCCCACATTTGACCATAAGAATGACCTGGTAACGGGAGTTGACCTTTTTAGATCTTGCAGCAGCAGTTCAGCCAGTTTGAGTCAGTCTAACTTTAGCTGGTCTGAAAGTGGGTCACTCTCAGGCAAGACTGCCGGACCTATACAAACCAAACACACTGAAGGGGTGTGTGTGGAAGCTTTCCAGGTTCACTGAGACTCTGGAGATGGCTTCAGCATGCGAGGGCTTCGTGTTTCCTCTCTGCTGCACCTCCTTGCTGAATGATTGGTGGCCTGTATGCTTAGTAATACCATCAGAAACTTTCTCTGAGCAGCGTGTAGCTTTTGTTTGCCCACACTCGGTTAAGATGACACAAGTTGCTGTTGGTGTTTTTGTGACTTTGAATTGTCATTGTCGAACCAGTGTGGGAAACGTACTCTACTGTAGCTGTGGTAAATAGATTGCAGTGTTTGCAAAACATGGATCAGCTAGGGGCTTATTACGATGTTGGGTATTGATGATACACACACAATGTGTATTTATGCTCACGGAAGTGATTAATCACCGGAATCATGGCCGCGTGGCACACCTTTGTTGGCTATTATGCATTGTTTTTGTTGAATGAGACAAATAAACACCACAAATCATACTATTGTGTCCATAAATCATGACTGGAAGAGAAACAGATTGAGATTCTGAGAATTAACATTTGTTTTCAGTGACTTGTATTTAGCTTTTGAACTGTCAAATGTACTGTGTTCTTATGTACACAATAAAATATACACATACATTTGTTATTAGTCTTGTTTTACAGTAACAAAAATGTGAATGGAATCAGGTATAGAAGTAAAACAGTTATAAATCTTTATTTTTAACTTTCAAATAATATGTTAATATTGGTATAAATTTTAGCGATTGCTGACTGTTGGTCTGCTAAAAGTATAAGTAAATAATCATCAGACTCCACTGTTAACAGATATATGTATATGTCAGTAAATGTTGATTTCTTTCATGCACTTGTAGGTCCCCACATTGTTTACTTAAAAAATTAAGAGCCTTCAGTGGTTTAGCATCAAAAAAATCAATCTATTACTGTAAAAGAACTGACTGGAGGTAAAGAGTCAATCTTTTGTTTCCTAAAATATGTGAAAATATATGTGAGGACGATGAGAGGTGGACTGTTGTCCGTTCAGACAACTGGAGTGCACGTCTGGTTCCTGGCAGTCTAACCGCAAACAGACATTGTTAATATCCCCGCGCATGTTTAGTTCAAGGTGAACGCCCAGTGGGGCGCTCTTAAAACAGCCGACATCACGCGCGGTCAAACAGCAACACGTGAGCACTTTGCTTACATGTGCAGACCAAAAGATGCAATGTGTCTAAGTTGGGTAATTAAGACCACACCTTTATTGCAACTTATCAGAGATTGGTGATGGACGCGGTTCATTGGGGAATTATGGTTTTAGTATAGTGATGTGTACCTAGCAGAGTTGGGTGGTGTCATTTGAAAAGAATGATGTATGGGATGGGAACCGATGGGAATTGTCAACAAGCAGCAGTCAACACTCCACTGTTGCATGCCGTTCTTTCTCCTCAGTCAATCCGTCACAAGCAGGGATTCCACTCAGTTAGCTGGACATTCATACTGACTGTGTGTGTGTGTGTGTGTGTGTGTATCTGACCAGTTGCTTTTAGCAGAATGAAATGACTCCAAACGAGTAACAACATAATGCAGTACAAGTCAATGAGAGAGACAGAAGAGCAGCCAGAGAAACAAAGCTGCTTGTGTGCACCCTACTGTCTGTATGGTTACACCTCAAGATTCTTTTCATTTTGATAATCTCACTGACTATCATTCCTAAACCAGTGCAATGTAGTGCTGTTATGACAGAAGTACAAAACATTGTCTCAACTGACTATTTTCTTGCCATGTCCTTTGCTATCAAGACTACGTCAAGAAGAATTATTTGACAGTGCAACAAGAGTTAATTAATAATATTGACATGGCTTCCTCAAGCATGGTCACAGACATTGGTCTTCTTTCATTGGCTCTGAAGGACCACAGCCCCTTTTTTGTTCATCCAGTCCCTCCCACTGATGGGCACTGTCTTTTCTCATGTGCTGCCAGAATCAGTTTTCAACTTGCAGCGAGTCGTGTCTGTGTGTGTATTCTAAGAAAAGAGGGGGCCTTGCTCTCTAAAGCCTGAATTTTGCAAGGTTTTTGTAACTTTAACCACTTTTGAAACTTTTGGTATTTATTCCTTGGCTCCCAGTGTGTCTTTAAAATTTTATTGATCACTTTTAAAGCTCTTCATGGCCTCTCGCCTTGTTATATTTCTGACCTTTTAGTCCCATACGCACCAGCATGTACCTTGAGATCCTCGGGCAGAGGTCTGTTGTGACTGAAAACTAAAGGGCCCTGAGGCTCTGAAACAGCCTGCCCGAGGAAATCAGGTCGGCGAGTCAGTGAACTCTTTTAAGTCCCTTCTTAAAACATACTTTTATAGGAGAGCCTTTCCTGATCTTATTTGACTTTATTTTATCCCTTTTATTTTATTCTATTTTACTTATTTTATATGTATCTTAAACATGTATTTTGGTCTTTTCAATGTTTTCTTGCTTGTATTGTTGTCTTTTGGGTATTGTATTGTTGTCGTTGCACCTTGTAACTGTATTTGAAAAGTGCTCTACAAATAAAGATTATTATTATTATTATTATTATAATGCTGGGCAAATAATCATTCCATTACAGTGAATTCAAACAAAGCATGCACGTATGAATGTATGTACCTGCATGCATAGGTTATACCAGTGTAAAGGCTTGTCTGGATGCAGCCACCAGTTACAACCACATGTTAGAGTCTGCTGAGGTACTTTTTGGGGGGATTTGTACTGAGGTAAAGCTTTAAAGGTTACTATGACTGTTTGCGTCTATGTTTATGTACAGGTGCTGGTCATATAATTAGAATATCATCAAAAAGTTGATTTATTTCAGTAATTCCATTCAAAAAGTGCAACTTGTATAATATATACATTCATTCTGCACAGACTGATATATTTCAAGTGTTCATTCCTTTTAATTTTGATGATTATAACTGACAACTAATGAAAACCCCCAAATCAGTATCTCAGAAAATTAGAATATTATGAAAAGGTTCAATACTGAAGACACCTGGTGCCACACTCTAATCAGCTAATTAACTCAAAACACCTGCAAAGGCCTTTAAATGGTCTCTCAGTCTAGTTCTGCAGGCTACACAATCATGGGGAAGACTGCTGACTTGACAGCTGTCCAAAAGACGACCATTGAAACCTTGCACAAGGAGGGCAAGACACAAAAGGTCATTGTTAAAGAGGCTGGCTGTTCACAGAGCTCTGTGTCCAAGCACATTAATAGAGAGGCGAAGGGAGCAATAGGGATAACCGCACCCTGGAGAGGATTGTGAAACAAAACCCATTCAAAAATGTGGGGGAGATTCACAAAGAGTGGACTACAGCTGGAGTCAGTGCTTCAAGAACCACCACGCACAGACATATGCAAGACATGGTGTCAGCTGTCGCATTCCTTGTGTCAAGCCACTCCTGAACAAGACACAGCGTCAGAAGCGTCTCACCAGGGCTAAAGACAAAAAGGACTGGACTGCTGCTGAGTGGTCCAAAGTTATGTTCTCTGATGAAAGTAAATTTTGCATTTCCTTTGGAAATCAAGGTCCCAGAGTCTGGAGGAAGAGAGGAGAGGCACAGAATCCACGTTGCTTGAAGTCCAGTGTAAAGTTTCCACAGTCTGTGATGGTTTGGGGTGCCATGTCATCTGCTGGTGTTGGTCCAGGAAGTTTTAGAGAACTTCATGCTTCCTGCTGCTGACCAACTTTATGGAGATGCAGATTTCATTTTCCAACAAGACTTGGCACCTGCACACAGTGCCAAAGCTACCAGTACCTGGTTTAAGGACCATGGTATCCCTGTTCTTAATTGGCCAGCAAACTCGCCTGACCTTAACCCTATAGAAAATCTATGGGGTATTGTGAAGAGGAAGATGCGATACGCCAGACCCAACAATGCAGAAGAGCTGAAGGCCACTATCAGAGCAACCAGGGCTCTCATAACACCTGAGCAGTGCCACAGACTGATCGACTCCATGCCACGCCGCATTGCTGCAGTAATTCAGGCAAAAGGAGATCCAATTAGTATTGAGTGCTGTACATGCTCATACTTTTCATGTTCATACTTTTCAGTTGGAAAAACATTTCTAAAAATCCTTTTTTTGTATTGATCTTAAGTAATATTCTAATTTTCGGAGATACTGAATTTGGGATTTTCATTAGTTGTCAGTTTTAATCATTATAACTAAATTAAATAAACATATATCAGTCTGTATTTAATGAATGAATATAATATCCAAGTTTCACTTTTTGAATGGAATTACTGAAATAAATAAACTTTTTGATGATATTCTAATTATATGACCAGCACCTGTACATCCAGAGATACTGCTGTGAAAACACATTTATCAAGGTTTTCACCGTCAGCCAACTACTGCTACATTTTGACCGTGCGTGTGTGGGTGCATGCGTTTGCTGCTTGGAATAGCCAAGCCATGTGATTCCTCCAGATTCTATTTCAGAACGGGCGCCGCCAAATACTCTTTACTCTTCACAGCAACTTGAAGAATATCATGGGCAACTGGACTTGACTGAAGATACTTGAAGATGTTTTGCCCCTTATCCAAAAGGTTTTTTCAGTTCTATTGAAGAAGAACTTCAGAACTTCTTCTGCTGAAGAACAGATGAAGCCTCTTGGATGAGTTGCAAACATCTTTTAAGTATCTATCAAGTCCAGTTGCCCTTGGATAACTATGACCTAGAGAATCTTCACAGACAACTTGAAGAATAGCAAACAAATACATTGCAGGCAATTTATTTCAGAAACATTTTTATTATGTTCTCTCTTTGTTGATCTTTAATCAATAAATCAAATGCTCTGACACAAAACTCTGTGTATCTGTGTCTGTCACAGGCCTGTCATAAACATGGCTAGTCTTTTCATTCAGTTCAAATGAAATGATTGGATAACCTACCTGCGTGCCTACCTGCACGTGCACTCTGCCTGTGCACTCACTGCGCATGAAAATGTGTTTTGGAGGAGTGGCTCTGACAGAAGGAACGGGGTGGGAATTTTTCAGTTGGACATTTTAAGAATCTAGCTGTCTCTTGCTATCTTCTCTAACGTTCCCTACCCGAGCTTTAATCCCTCTATCTGTTAAACCTTCCCGCTCAGATCAGCAGCTGAGGCGCGTCTGTAGCCGGCTTCAAGTACGTACTCTATGTGTTTTCTTATTCTGGGAACAGGTTATTGCCACTTTGACATTGATCTGCAGCATTGACCTTGTGTGCGACATTAACAATGTGCATTTCATCATGCCTCCTGTTTTAAACACAGGTTTGTTTTGAACTGTCAGATTTTCTTCTCCTTTAAGGTGTCACTGTTTGGTCTGATGAACTGTATTGACAGAAGACAGTTTTGACTTGATTGCAGTTGCATAACTTGTGTCCCCTGGTCAGTGAGGGGTCATGTGGTTGAGATAGGCTACTTTCTTCTGTTTTTGTATGCATGCATGTGTGTGTTTGCTTTCATGATTACACTTGGATGTATGAATAGTATTTTCACTCTAAGCTTTTATGAATCAGCTTACCGGATTTCAGAGTAATGTGGCACACAAGCCGTTATAATAATCAGCTACTTATTTATCTGGGCAGAATAATAATAATAATAGAAGCATGGGCTCAGCTTGTCTTACTGCTGCTGGTTTGGTCCAGTAATTTAAAGGATTATCTGTGTAACAGCTGTTTTAATTAAAGTTTTATTAGACGTTTGCCTAAATTTGCTCTATGTTTGCACGTCTTAAGCATGCAGTTAATTTTCTGAAGGTGTGAAATGTACTATTTATATAATGTAAATCCACAAAACACAAACACGACCCCTTTCAGTTTTTATTTAGGATGGATTTTATTGGGGTATTATAATCCCCAACAAGGTAATCAATTATCAAAATAGTTGCTGTTTTCTTTTGATCTACTAATCAATGAATTGACCAGTCATTGTAGCTCTAGTTAAACGGTGCACTGTCACATTGTAGGCTCTGAACAGTGGGCAGTTCCACAATGTATACAATAAGAGCGTCTCCACTTGTGTAAGTCTTTCCACACCATTTATAAAGAGCATCCAGCCTGCTGCTGTCATGCAACACCATTCATGATCAATGAGACTGTGTACACAATAGTGACCCTTACAACACTAAATAGCAGCTGCAAGTGGGAGAGGCTGAATTTAATGTCTTCTGGCTTGTGTTGTAATTTCAGCTTGATTGTTGTGGACAATTTGATGCAACAAGAAGCATAGTTGTTTTATCTGTGGCAGTTTTTAAATGTATATGGGGATTTACATTTTTATAGACTAGACTCAAGTTCAACCACATTATAGAATAATTTTTTTGTATTCAGCATGTTTTATTTTATAAGCTGTTGTGGATATGGATGGTTGCTGGTTGTGGCATACCATACTGTAGGAAGAAAACAGTTCTGTAGGTGTAGTTGGACGGCTTTCTTGGAAAACTGAAACAAGTAACTGCAAATTTAAGCCTTGTTTGTATGCCAGTGTATGTGATCTAATAGGCCAGCTTGGAAAGTTGTATCTGAGCCTGAATGTTTTCTGTAAAGAAAAAAAAGACTACAAGGTTGTCACCTTCGCTCACCCTTATGTGGTATGTTTCCATGAGGTGTGTCTGTTGCACTGTCCACATGACCTTTCTGGGTTTATGTCCTCATGCTAGTGGGTTCTGGAGAAGCCATTAACTGGAAATGGATCACGGTATGTGTGCTCAGTACTTGGGAATGTACATGAGATTTTGGACAGACTATTGACCTTGAGAATCTTCTCGGCAAATGCTTACAAAAGACGTTTCATAGCTGTGGCCTCCAGAGGGTAGAGGTAGTTTCAAACTGCATTGGATGCTCCTTCCTTAGTAGTCCTTAGTAGTAGTTTTGTGAGCACACACCACCATGTATTTTATTCTCTTTCTGTTTACTTATCACAGACAATAATAATGTTTAATATCACAGACAATAATAATTGGATTGTCCTTGTGTACTATATGACCCCAAACAGAGGTGCTGAATAAATAGTCTTGGCAGGTTTTGTTTCTACTGCAATGTGTAGGCATAACACAACGTGATGAGCCTCCACCGCCTGTTTCAAGAAAGTGTTTCTGTGTTGTGAGCTATGATTCTCTTTTGTGTTGAACAGTTTGTTGGCTTTGCCTCCTCTACTGTGATTTGCGTTGTGTTTTGTAGCCACGTATCCAGCAATAAGATTGATTATCCCTATAGGCCCCCTGCTTTTTTGGCTATCAGTCACACGTTGTGGATTTGGGTTGCGTTATGCAACACCCCAGGAAACAGTGTTCTACTTACAGTAGTACAAGTGAATCCCCTTAACCCAGCGTGTAACACTCAACTGCAGTACGACCACTGTTTACTGATGTCATTTTGAATGTGGCCTCCACTAACAAACACAATCTGCTAATGGATCAGTTGATCCATCTTTGGTGTATGTTTGTGTTCAAAATAATACTGAATCAGTTTTGTTCATGTGGCGACGTGTTCATTCAAGAGCCCTTGTTATGTACAGTTTTTACCTACAACTTTACTTAGAGACTATTAGTTGATTGTCTTATGAACATTTCTCCTACAATGACATTTTAGTACGCTAGAGTGTACAGTGTTTGGTATCGTTACTTTTTACTTTACTTTTTAAAAGTTAGTGCCACAATAGGGGGAAAATGGAATTAGTGCCATAATTTTTTTTTTACAACCATGAAAAGCAAGCAGGCTAAATGACGTGTTCTATCTGTCTGTCTATCAATTTCCCCTCTCTGTTTTAGTATTTCGAACAGCGCCCCACCCCCTAATTTAGCCAGACTCATTTCACCATTTCAGAGCACAAACACTCACTTGCTTAGCTGTGGGGCTTACAGTAATGATATGCCCAAATATTTAAACCAAAACATAAAACCACTTGCCAGCATTATGTGCTGTTATCGCTTCCCTGTTGATCTGCCAAAATGACTTTGGACTCCTTAGGATCCGAATTATCTACTGGTTTGAAGAAATTCAACAAATGTCTTTTTGACATTTTGCCAGTTTCCTTTTTTGTGGCTGTGGGAAACAGGTGACATGCACAAAACTGTCACCCCTCAGGCTTCAATGTGTGCCCTGACCTCTCTCTTTTTGAAAAAAATCTGATTTAAAATGCATCCAAACTAGGCAAACAAGTGATTTAGACTAACTAAAACAGGATATAAAAGAATGACAGAACAGATAGAATCAAAATTTTACACAAACTTTATTTACAGGTTTTGAAAGTGATAAAAGAGGTTCTGGATCCAATCAAATATGTGCTTGTCCCAATCTGGTAAGTCCCAGATTCTATTTTGGCAGGATCCAGCACAAATGAAGCCCTGGAATCACCCCAACACTGCTCTAGATCGAGCTAGCTCAGCCTCAGATAATGCCGAAAATAAAAAGTTCTGGACAGATTTTTAAGCACTCAGGAACTCACTGCCCCTCATGTTTTCTTTACTTTTCCTCCCATTAGGGTGTGTGTGACCTCTCCCTCTCTCCCCTGTGACCTCCGAACCCTAGTCGACCTCCTCCCCTCCCTTCCCTTCCCCTCTCCTCCCTGAGGCCAGACTGTGATCCATGGCGCTGAAGAAACTTCTGGGTTTTGGAAAGCAGTTGCTTAGGGTGAAGGTGGTGGACTGTAACACAGAGGAATCCCGTCTGTCCCGATGCCTCAACACTTTTGACCTGGTGGCCCTTGGCGTGGGTAGCACATTGGGCGCGGGTGTCTACATACTATCTGGTGCCGTTGCACGGGAGAATTCAGGTAAGGTAACGTTACTATAAACTATTAAACGATTATTAATTAATGATATCCTGTGAGACTCTAATCCTATGATATCCATTGTCCCACATAGGTCCTGCTATTGTGCTGTCTTTCTTGATAGCAGCCTTAGCCTCAATGTTGGCTGGTCTGTGCTATGCTGAGTTTGGAGCTCGTGTTCCCAAGACAGGCTCAGCTTACCTTTACTCCTATGTGACTGTAGGGGAACTCTGGGCCTTCATCACTGGATGGAACCTCATCCTCTCCTATGTCATTGGTAAACATGCCACATCTCTGCATTTACTACTACGTTGTTTACTTATTGTTGTGTGTGTGGAGACAAAAAAAACAGAATCAGAGGCCAACAGCACCAAAACTGTGACAAAACTGGAAAAAAGTCACAGACACTGCGAAATCTACATCAACTGGTTTTTCTCCATCTCAGGTACCTCCAGTGTGGCCCGTGCATGGAGCGCTACCTTTGACGAATTAATAGGGAAGCACATAGAGCAGTTCTGCAGAGAGTACATGTCCATGAAGGCGCCGGGCGTATTGGCAGAGTACCCTGACATGTTTGCTGTTGTCATCATATTCACCCTCACAGGTAAGAAAACTTATTTCTCCCTTTCTTTCTGTCCCTCTCTCATCTCGCCTGCAAAACAAGTTTCCATTTTCTTTTTCCCTTCTGTGTTTTCTCCATTTTTTAAGGTCTGCTGGCATTCGGAGTCAAAGAGTCAGCGATGGTGAACAAGATTTTTACGTGCATCAATGTCCTAGTCTTGTTGTTCATGGTGGCTTCTGGCCTTGTCAAAGGTACTTTGAAGAACTGGCAGATAGACCCTGAAGAGATCTTTCATGCCAATTATACCAGTAACTCCAGCCTCAAGTAAGAACGTGGACACACTCACTTCTTATATATATTCTCATATCAAACATGTTCCATGAATATATACTTTTGGGTGTCAGTTACTCTTGCTAATCCACAGATGTCACCAACAGATTTTATTGGAATGACTTTGTTCTTTTATTTGGGTGACCTGACCCTTTTAAAAATTACAAATTCATCCAATACAGGTTATTTTCTGATTTAAATTATTATTTTCTTCCCTGTTCAGTCTGACAGACATCCTGCCGACTGCAGAAAGTTTAGGAGTGGGTGGCTTCATGCCGTTTGGTTTCACAGGTGTCCTGTCGGGAGCTGCTACCTGCTTCTATGCCTTTGTCGGATTTGACTGCATCGCTACCACAGGTCAGTGCTGGATGAAACCAGAAAACACTCACTCTTTTGGCCCTGTTCCTCTTGTTCCACTCATATCCCTTCCATTGCCTCATGGGTATGTTTCAGTTATTTTTTGGGGGGGGTGGGGGGGGGCCATTTGAATCTGGATTTGGGACCATTTCAAATCTAAGATTGTCTAAACATCATGGAGTGTTACATAGGAGGGGCACGGTAGAGAGAAGAGATGCTGTTTCATGAGTTTGACTCTGGCCCCTCGGGTTCTCCCACCCCTCTTTTTCCCGAATTCTAATTGGCTAGCGCAAAGTTAACCATGTTTGTACGGGCATGTCTCTCACACATACTCTCAGCCAGCCCAAAGCCAGTATATCTTAAAATATGTGTGTGTGCATGTGTTTTGGCTACCTCAAGTTAAGTTGGTATGAAGCCACTATCCCTTCCCCTTACACACACACACACACACACACACAAGCACACAGACATCCACATAACCGTTACTACTGTTAAGCTTGTAATCAGGACCAATCAGTAGCTGTCACGTCTCATGGCTAGCGGTCTAGGAGAAGGTCCAGACAGTGTTTTACACACTCAATCATCGCGATGTGATTTCAGTGCAGAACAAGACGTGGGTGTTTGCCTGAGGAGCTCTGTTGCATAATCACCTGCAGCTGAATAGTTGGGTGTTTCAGTCTTGTGGGTGCCCAGAGAAAATAAGCTCTTTGTTCAATTTGTTGCAAAATACTATGCAAAATGTTTTTTAAAATACATCTGTTTGCCCAGTTTCCCATGTTTACTGGAATTCTGCCAATACAACCATAAAAGAACAAATGGTGTGTACAATTGCGAAGCTTATATTAAAATGTGAATAGCTAGTTACCAACAAACAGTGGTATAGCAGTTAATGGGCCATGCTAGGATGATGAGGAAAGTAAAAGGGATAGCCTCCTAAATTAACTGTTCCACTCAAACGATTTACAGGGTCTATAAAGTTTAACAAAATGTTATACATTTCACTTATCTGTGACAATGGAAAAAATGTACAATGGTGGCCCAGCTGATCATGACAACTTGTCATTATGTACATTCTAAATGGGGATTGAACATCTAGACTATGTTACATTTAGCTGCTTGAATACAGTATCAGCACCTTGCAGTCAAATTAACAATATACATGTCTAAGTCGATAGTGGTAAACTCTCCTGAATTGATGAAAAGCCAATTCAAGTTTCAGCACCTGGTTAATTATTAATAATTAAAACCTGTACTTTTTTGCCCCTTTATCTGTGTCTGCCCACCATCTATGACCTAGGTGAAGAGGTGAAGAATCCCCAGAGAGCCATCCCAATCGGCATCGTATCCTCGCTTCTCATCTGCTTTGTAGCATACTTTGGCGTTTCTGCTGCCCTCACCCTCATGATGCCATACTACCTGCTGGACAGCTACAGCCCACTGCCGGCAGCTTTTAAATATGTTGGCTGGGGAGGAGCCAAATACGCTGTCGCTGTAGGCTCTCTTTGTGCTCTGTCTGCTAGGTAAGCAGTTAACACACATCTGCACTGGCCATTAGTATTAAATGCATGGTCATGTACTCTAGTTCTCTCAGATACAAATGTGTGTGCATGTGTGCGTGCGTGTGTGTGTGTGTGCGTGCATGCATGCGAGACTATGTGAGTGTATATTTAACTTGAGAAGGCATTTGATCCCTCAACTAAAGCTGCTACTACCATCAGTGTATGTATGTGATTATGCAACTCTAACTCATGTCACCAAAGGACACCACAAGCTGCATTTCTATTAATATTCTATATTTATAATGGTAGTATTATTGTTCATACATACTTTATCTATATGACCATTGCTTTGATAGATTTTTGTAATAGAAGATTATGAATTAGATACATTCTTAATTGAAAAATAAGTGCATAGTATATTTAAGTTCAGGTTAATAGATGTGAACAGGTGTACGCTTTTATATGAAATAATTTACTGCATACCACTATTATTCTAACAATATTATGCACAATATACAGTATATTATGTTGTGTAAATGTATTATATATATATATATATATATATATATATATAAAAATGTTGCTTGTATATGTGAGCTAGTGTCTCTGTTCATGTATGTGTCACAGCATTGTCATGTGTGTAAGTGTGGAGGTTGTTATACAGTGAGGAAAATAAGTATTTGAACACCCTGCTATTTTGCAAGTTCTCCCACTTAGAAATCATGGAGGGGTCTGAAATTGTCATCGTAGGTGCATGTCCACTGTGAGAGACATAATCTAAAAAAAAAAATCCAGAAATCACAATGTATGATTTTTTAACTATTTATTTGTATGACACAGCTGCAAATAAGTATTTGAACACCTGAGAAAATCAATGTTAATATTTGGTCAGTAGCCTTTGTTTGCAATTACAGAGGTCAAACGTTTCCTGTAGTTTTTCCACCAGGTTTGCACACACTGCAGGAGGGATTTTGGCCCACTCCTCCACACAGATCTTCTCTAGATCAGTCTGGTTTCTGGGCTGTCGCTGAGAAACACAGAGTTTGAGCTCCCTCCAAAGATTCTCTATTGGGTTTAGGTCTGGAGACTGGCTAGGCCACGCCAGAACCTTGATATGCTTCTTACAGAGCCACTCCTTGGTTATCCTGGCTGTGTGCTTCGGGTCATTGTCATGTTGGAAGACCCGGCCTCGACCCATCTTCAATGCTCTAACTGAGGGAAGGAGGTTGTTCCCCAAAATCTCGCAGTACATGGCCCCGGTCATCCTCTCCTTAATACAGTGCAGTCGCCCTGTCCCATGTGCAGAAAAACACCCCCAAAGCATGATGCTACCACCCCCATGCTTCACAGTAGGGATGGTGTTCTTGGGATGGTACTCATCATTCTTCTTCCTCCAAACACGGTTAGTGGAATTATGACCAAAAAGTTCTATTTTGGTCTCATCTGACCACATGACTTTCTCCCATGACTCCTCTGGATCATCCAAATGGTCATTGGCAAACTGAAGACGGGCCTTGACATGTGCTGGTTTAAGCAGGGGAACCTCCGTGCCACGCGTGATTTCAAACCATGACGTCTTAGTGTATTACCAACAGTAACCTTGGAAACGGTGGTCCCAGCTCTTTTCAGGTCATTGACCAGCTCCTCCCGTGTAGTTCTGGGCTGATTTCTCACCTTTCTTAGGATCATTGAGACCCCACGAGGTGAGATCTTGCATGGAGCCCCAGTCCGAGGGAGATTGACAGTCATGTTTATCTTCTTCCATTTTCTAATGATTGCTCCAACAGTGGACCTTTTTTCACCAAGCTGCTTGGCAATTTCCCTGTAGCCCTTTCCAGCCTTGTGGAGGTGTACAATTTTGTCTCTAGTGTCTTTGGACAGCTCTTTGGTCTCGGCCATGTTAGTAGTTGGATTCTTACTGGTTGTATGGGGTAGACAGGTGTCTTTATGCAGCTAACGACCTCAAACAGGTGCATCTAATTTAGGATAATAAATGGAGTGGAGGACATTTTGAAGGCAGACTAACAGGTCTTTGAGAGTCAGAATTCTAGCTGATAGACAGGTGTTCAAATACTTATTTGCAGCTGTATCATACAAATAAATAGTTAAAAAATCATACATACAGACCCCTCCATGATTTCTAAGTGGGAGAACTTGCAAAATAGCAGGGTGTTCAAATACTTATTTTCCTCACTGTATATCCTGGTCTTCCCCCCTGGTAGCCTGTTGGGTGCTATGTTCCCTATGCCCCGTGTGATCTGGGCTATGGCAGATGATGGGCTGCTTTTCAAGTTTATGGCCGAGATCAGCCCCCGCACCAAAACACCGCTAATTGCAACCCTCATCTCTGGCATAGTGGCAGGTGAGACACTAACACGCATGCATACATGCTTCAAAACAACATCCATAATCACTGAGGTTTTTTTTTTTTGCTGCCTGGCTGAGCTGTGCCAGGGTTGGTCTGGCCTACCAATTGCAGATTTTGTTTTAACTTTGATTTAAAGAAACCTGCCAGAAATCAGCACTCCAGCATGAGAATTGCTTCACTAACTGTCTATAATACTGTCTTACATGACATGGGGTCTTTGTAGTTGGTTGAGGCAGTCCAGGTTATACTTAGACATACTTCTAACATCGGTCAGTGGCTAGAACTTGACCGAAACTAAACTGCATGCTGAAGTAACCAGAGTTTGACATTAACAGCACATGGATCACCATATTTGCTATATAAGGAGGAGTAAGTTTGCATGTTGGCATCAGAATATACTTGGTCCAGTCTCATACCCCTGCTGCTCTACAGTGCAGCCAGTCTGGTACCCTGTTGCACGCTCTCCTGCCCCAAATCCACAACTCCTATCTTGCCAACCATATTCATCTCCTTTCGCTAATTCTTCCCCTTTCTCCCCAACTGACCTCTTTCAATTCTTCTTTTCCCTGCCCTACACCCACAACTGTCATCCCAATCCGATGTTTTCCTCCCCACGTCACCCCAGTCTCTTGGGTTCCATGTTCCCCCTTCCTCGTATCATCTTTGCCATGGCTCGGGATGGCCTGCTCTTCTCCTTCCTAGCCCGCGTCAGCAAGAGGAAATCCCCCATAACATCCACTGTGACCGCCGGGGTTATGTCTGGTAAGATGAATAGGGAATGTAAAAATAAGGAAGGGATAAGGAAACATGAGGCTGTAGTACACAGCGGTACATTGATCTAAATGATTATATCAGCATCCTAACATGCTCATGCAGATATAATGTTTACCATGTTAATCATGTTAGTTTTGCATGTTAGCTAACTAGCTAACCAGAAAAAAAAAAAAAACAGAAGACCATCTCGAAAACACACTATCGTCCCCTCTATTTTAGGAACAAATGTACAAAGGTATTCTTATGTTTCCAACTGTCTTATCTCTTTCTTTGTCTTTAAAGCTATCATGGCATTTCTTTTTGACCTGAAGGACCTGGTGGACCTGATGTCAATAGGGACTCTGCTGGCCTACACATTAGTGGCTGCCTGTGTCCTGGTGCTCAGGTCAGTGGGGGCACTTAGGCGTATAGAGTTTAACCAGGGACACGGGGTTTGCATCTGTCCATACTTTTTCATGAGTTGTCAAAAGTCCATGCTTGAAGGCGAGGTGGAAATCACACGGGTAAGCAGAGTAATTTTCATGTTGAACTTTGTCCAGCTTGAGGCAGATACACTGGACTGTTTGATCACCTCCTTGCTGCAGATTTTTCTCTTTTTAGCGCCCAGTGAATTTCAGCTCTGCATTAATTTTGAAAGTAGTTTCATACCTCATAAATTTTTTTACTACCAGGCAAATTATGACTGGCTTAAACTGCTGTTGATAAAAATGTGGCTGCAGCCAATGCTACAGTATGATTGACATCAACTCATAAGCAGGTTCATTGTGAACTTGTGTCACTATATGTGTCAGGGGTAGTTGAGTGCAGCGGAAGGAAACAGGAGTGAATCCAAATGCAAACAGGTGAGGGAATTGCAGTCCAACAAAAATCTATTAACCAAGTAAAGTAGGCTTACACTGGGAGCTCAGTGGCGAATGTTCAAACAAAAGGTAACTCCAAACAAAACATAATCCAAAGGGAAGAATCCAAGAACAGGTACAATCCACAAAATAATCCAAAAAAACACAGGGACAGGCCATAACACTCAGCACAGACGAGGACGTCACAAACACTGAACACCACTGAGGACAATATACTGTATACACAGGCAAACGAGCAGGGAGGGAGGCACAGCTGAAACACATCAGGTAATCAACAACAGGAACAAAGCTAGACAAGAACACCAGGCACAGAAGATTACAAAATAAAAAAGGAAGTAAAGTACTCGGGAACACACCAGGACAGATCTACCAAAGTAAATCACAAAACATGGAAAGACTGCAAAATCAGGGCATGTACAGAGACCAGACCAAACAGGAGACAGGACTACACTAAACATGGAGACATAAGACTAAGGACTAAGACACAGACCAAAATAATAAAACATAGATGTACACAGACCAGGAAAAACACTAAACATGAACTAAAGCACAAGACTAAGAACGAAAACGCAGGACTACGAACTAAGATAAGAGACAAGACAGATACTAAGAAACTTAAACATGCGAATGAACAAAAGACTAAATGAAGCTACAAAACCCCAAACATGATAAGATCAAATAAAGCTTTCAGAATACAGAACACAAAACCAAATCCTGACAATATAGGCACCTTATCATTGCTTTACTGCTGTCCTTAGCAACAATTTTAAGTGATGTGACAGAGTAAAGTCACAATGGTAAAATAGCTTAGTGTGTGTATGTTTAATTGTGTCAGGTACCAGCCTGAGCAGCCCAGCTTGGTGTATCAGATGGCCAATACCCAGGAGGAGGTGGAGCTGAGTGATGGCATCAGTGTACCCAGTCTGGGAATGCTGCCTGGTATGGAGGAGAGGTTCAGCTTCACGGCCCTCTTGTTCCCACACAACCCTGAGCCATCCACACTATCTGGTTTCGCCGTCAACATCTGTGCCTCTGTCATGGGTAGGTGATAGGCCCACCTTAAGACAGTGAAGAAATACAATAAATAGAAATAAAATGGGTGAGTGATTGTCTTAGTGCTAGGGTAAAGAAACGGACAATCTTAATTTGCTTTGAATCCAGAGACCTTAGAGTTAAAGGAAAACTTTAAAAAAACCTTTTTTTGTATATTTTAACCTGGACCCTATTTTCCCATGTTTTGGGGTTAAAGTGACAAATGGGGAAAACAACTTTGTATTGAGAGAGAGAGAGTGCTGCAGCTGGCAGCCACAAAACTGTCTGGAATATCTTGTGGAGGATCTGTGTTCATCCCTCCTTAGAGTTTCACAGACTTGGCAAGGAGCACTGAAGCTGTTCTGTAGGCTCGTAGTGGCCTGAATCCATACACTTCATGTTGTTTTTTTTCTTTTATATGTAACCCATCTTTATGTACTTCTGCAGGGGCGTTGATTCTGGTGTTCAGTGTACTGGCAGTGCAGGGAGGCGCTGCTATGTGGAACATCATAGCCCTTAGTGTCATCTTCATGGTGTGTCTCATCCTCACTTTTATCATCTGGAGACAGCCTGAGAGCAAGACAAAACTTTCCTTCAAGGTTTGATTCCAGAAACTCAATCTATGTAGGATAGTAAAGATTAACAGCAGTAATTTTGGAGTAGTCTGTGTTTTTCAACACTACCTCTGGCCTTTACACTTAACACAGGATGCCTCATTTCCTCTCTATGATTTTTGGCTCTAGGTTCCACTGCTACCCTTCATTCCAGTGATCAGCATGTTTGTCAATGTTTACCTGATGATGCAGCTGGACAGAGGCACTTGGATACGATTTTCTATATGGATGGCTATAGGTAGGTTGTCTCCATTTCTGTCATAATTGTCTTTCCAGGAGTTTGACACCTTTCACTTTGGCGTCTCTGACTAAAGGATGCTTGTTTCTCATGCTCATACACTTCACTGCAGATTTGCAGACTTATTACACACAACTGGCACTTCGCTTGCATTAGCAGCTTGAAATAGGCAGTCTAAAGAGACTGTTCAGTCAGCCATAGTATGTCATAATTTTGTGGTAGCACAGTTGCAGGCAGGAAATGTTGAAACGTACATCCGGCAAATAATCTGACTTTGAGTTTTGAGTAAGTAATAAGTAAACTATTGTGATTTTTTAAAAGGTTTACAATAGTTTCTTGTAACTTAAAGCTGATTCTCAAATATCAGAGGTTGGACTTTCTTACTATACTGTATGTTATGGTTATGGACAGATTGGACCCAAATGCAACGCTCAAGATTAATGGGTTTTATTAGGGGAAAGAAGGGGTTGAGGGACTGGAGTAGAGGGAGAGGTGGATGCCGGGGAAACCCAGGCACTGGGGAACCGAGGAGACTCAGACCAGAGAGCCGGGGGACACTGGGGGCCGAGGAAGAGAGAAGGCACGGGAGAACTGGGAGGATGCCGTGGGGGTAGTCCTAGGGGAGAGGGCAGGTGAGCGAGCCCAGCTGACTTGACAGAGGACGAGGGTGAGTGAACCTGTGGAGAGACAGAAAGACAAACAGGGTTAGTGACTCAGGGAAAACCAAGAACAGGGTAACAGAGATCACGCGGGTTTTGCAAGCGTTCAAGTGATCAAGTGGCACCGGATTTGGAGCAACGACGATCAAGCAGCAAGGGAGTGGAGAAGTAGAAGTACTGTCAGAGATGAGGCTGATTGCTGGCAGGTGCGGCAGGCAGAGGAGGTGGCTGACAAGGTGCAGGTGCGGATCGTTGGCTGGGCTCAGGAGCGGAGGGAGAGAGCGAGAGAGCACACACGGGGGAGGAGACACAGGGAGGCAGGCAGAGAACAGAGAAAAAAACAGGGAAAAAACAGAATCACAGACAAAAAAAAGGAGAAATAACCAGGACACGCACATTCAACCGGGCTGCCACCACAACATCTTTTCATGTGACAACACTGAAGAAATCATACTTTGCTACAATGTAAAGTTGTGAGTGTACAGCTTGTATTACAGTGTAAATTTGCTGTCCCCTCAAAATAACACATCACACAGCCATTAATGTCTAAACCTCTGGTAACAAAACAAAAATATTCACTCAATGTTATACCGCCACCCACTGGTAACAGCAAGTAAGCTGTTTCTGACAAAAATCTTTTAATTTACATGCCATTTTCACAGCTTGGTCCACACATCACCCACTGCTGAACAACATATAATTAGCGGGTGCGCCACCCAGTGGACACAGAAAGTGATGTTTAAAAACTTCGTGACCAATCTACAATTGTCGCAACAATTCAGGGTGCGTCTCCCGACCTCCAGCCGCTGTGGCGCAGCCACGTCACGGTCCCATCATGCCTTCCAAATGAATCGCACTTTTGACGGCCTAAATGTCCCCAAAAAATAACCAAACTTTACACACATGTCAGGCGTGGCGAACAAATACGTGGACAAATGGCTCTATAGTGCCACCTACAAAATTGGACAAAATTTGCCCCCGCACCATGTTCAACATACAGGCACAAAATTTTGTGGGGATATGTATCATATCCAGACACACAAAAAAGCCTCAAGAACCCATACCTTAAACGCAACATGAAGTCAGCCATTTTGAATTGAATGTGCAATTTTAACCCATTTTTCACCTTTTACAGGGTGCGTACTTAACAAACTCCTCTGATGGACTTCAAATTTCTACTGTGCCTTCTAAAGGCATTGACGATGAAAAGTTGTGCTATCTGTGAGTTTTTCTCAATGGGCGTGTCCATGGCGTGGCAACCAAAATAGATGATTTGCCATGAAACAGGAAGTTGTTATAACTTCAGTGTACATGCTCACATCTGCACCAAACTTAAATGTAGGATGACAGTCTTGCCCTGAACACATCCATATGCCAACAAACACTCAATGTCATAGCACCACCTGCTGGCAACAGGAAGTGTCAGGTTTCACTGACACTTCCTTTGCCACACCTGCTTCAAAACAGTCTCAGACGAGCCTTAAGACATTGATGATGCTATGTTGTGAATCTTGCGAGTTTTTGGATAACGGCTTGTCGTTGGCGTGGCGTCAAAGTTCTATGCTTCACCATGACACAGGAAGTTGTTGTAACTTCGCTGTACATGCTCATATCTCTACCGAATTTAACACATTTAATAAGGGCCATGCCCTGAACACGTCTGCAGGTCAAAATTCAGTCAACCTCATAGCGCCACCTGCTGGCATCAGGAAGTGTCCCTTCAATGATGCAGCCCCCGTGCACTGAATCACCAAGATGCACTAAACTTTTATGGTAAATGTATCATCCACAGATGCACAAACAAGCCTCTTGGAGCCATACCTGAAAACAGACAGGAAGGCAGCTATTTTGATTTGAATGTACAATATATATATAATACGATGAAAGGTTGTGCTATCTGATCTGTGAGTTTTCATCGATGTGCATGTCCGTGGTGTGGCATCAAACATCAACGGTTCGCCATAAAAAAGGAAGTTATTATAACTTCAGTGTACATGCTCAGATTTGTACCAAACCTTACATGGTTGATAACAGTCCTGTCCTAAACAAATCTACATGAAAATGTTAACTCAATTTCATAGCGCCACCCGCTGGTAACAGCAAGTAAGCTGTTTCTGACAAAAATCATTTGATTTATATGGTATTTTCAATGTTCCACACTTCACCTACTGCTGAACAACATATAATTAGCGAGTGTTGTCTAGCGCCACCCAGGGGACAGAGGAAGTGACATTTAAGTACTTTGTGACCGGTCCAAAACAATTCAGGGCGCATCTCGCGACCTCCTGCCAAATACAAGTTTGACAAAAAAGCCAACTAAATTGGTAGGTATAACTCAAGGTAGCTTCCTGTCTGCTGCCATGAGCTGACACAACAGACTGGGGGTTTTAAAAAAAAATCCAAAACATAATTTAATTTCAGTGAATATATTACACAAACAATGATGTTGGGTTTTGCTCTGCTTTTTCAGGTTTAGTTATCTACTTCTGCTATGGCATTCATCACAGCACTGAGGCTGCTATGGCCCGCTCGTCTCCAGACACAGAGATGAACGGCTTTAAGCGTGACCACAATTCGGAGGCCATATCACCAGAAAAGGAGGCCTTCCTGCACTATGGGATCAATGCAAGGGAAGAGGATGATGGAGATTTGTAGTAAGCAGTAGAACATGCAGCATACAGTATTTTATAGAGTATTTTTCACTGGACAATTTCCAGTCCCTTAATGGCAGTACTCCCTGGGTACTGGGTAGAACAACATAATTTCTGAAGCCATAATTGAACTGCTCGTTATCACTTGGCTGTTTGAGGGGTAGGGCTCATGTTGGGGACACGAAACATGTCACTGTTTCAGGGAGGTTCAGAGATACTGGGAGACCATATTTGTTTCTGTTCATGATGGGCCGACCATATTTGTTTGTCTTTATGGTGGGCCGTAGTTACTACTTTTGAAGAGTGTCTGGGTTACGTTGCTGGCAGTAGAACTATGTGCACATGTGGTATCGGCTTTTATCTCAGTGCCAGAAAGTTCAATAGTTATACATTTTTTTGTCTTTTTTATGTTTAAACATAATAACTACTCTATATATCTACATAATTTTGAAAATCCGATAACACAGTATTAAATACAGATTGGTACCAATAGCTACATTCGCTTAAACCAACCAACTTTTATGTAGCTGATGTTGAAATGCTGCTTTAACAGTCCTCCCTGACAAGTGAGTGCTTACAGCAGAAATACTCTGCAACACACTTGGCTTGTCAATGATATAATTACCCTTGTTCACTAACAGAAATCCTCTTTGACAGTTCCTTACTCACAGATAGAGAGATTCCAAGAAAATTAATGCAGAAAGCCTACCAGGAATGTGTTAGTCAAACCATGTGATAGTAATAGTTTGTTAACAGATGCCTGATTTTACATCCTCTTCACAATAATAATGGTAGTTGTATAGATACAATCTTATTTGGCATATTTAACACCGTTGGTAAATATATTAAATCTAATATTTGAATCCTGATACATGTTGAACATCAGGTGAAGATGCTGCCAGTTGCTGTATGTTAGTTAATGTCATGTATTGTGGATTTTCACAGTGTGGGCTGTTTTCTCTTTTTACATCTGTAGCTTGGAACATTTAGTTTGATCATGTGAAGCTTCCCTACACGGACATTTATGTCCATCATTTTTTTTGTTGTCATTAAAATATCTAATGATTTTAGATAAATTTTCTCTTTTCATATACAGAGTACCCTGACAATTTGGGATTGCAGTCCCATTACATTGTCAGACATGTAAACTAAAAATCAATGCAGCAGAACCAGAGATATTTTATTTGACTTAAGCATTCTTCTTCCCTGTCAAATCCTGGCACTTGCATTTTTCCACAATGCAATGCAACTATTGACTGTTTAATTGGAGTTTTGGGTGTGTTATGCTAGGGCAACTAATGTAGCCTCGAGCTGCTACTATGAAGCAGAGATGAGGAGTAGGCTACAGAGGTCTGGTAAGCTTACTATATTTCTAACTTATACCCCCCTTTTTTTTTTTTTTTTCAAACTCTAAAAAGTCTTCAGCTGACTCAAATGACTTTTTATACAGTAGTACTCACCTGTACAGACCAGGCTTTGGTGTGTAATCGGTGTAGTTCCCTTATAACAAAAGGTTTTCAATGCAGACCTATGTACATTCATTGGGGTTTTGGGAGTCCTTTACAACAAAGTAGGCGGAGAAACGTGTAATCAAGATTGTGTGTATATAGATATTGTTTATATTTCTTGCAGTAAATTATTTGTAAATTGGAGAAATATTATGTTGCCCTGTTTGTGTCTAGCATTGTGTTCCTTATATTGTGTTTACGTTGTCAGTGCAACTGAAACTTAATCCTCAGGGTTGGCAAAATCACTGCCATGACCTTCATTTGTCATGTCTTCAACCATGCCTTATTAACAAAAAGTGATAAAAGTCATAAAACTAGAAATATGGGACACTGGCATCACTGAGGCAGAAACAGTTTCATTGGGGTCATAGTGGACTGACAGTAATGCAGTCTTTCACAGTAAAAGTATGATATTAATCTGTGTGATTGATCATGTTACTACTACTAAGTATAATTTTTATCAACATGACTTTTCCAGGGGTTTTGGTAATTTGTTAGTAACCAAGTTGAATTGTTACACTAAGCAGCAATTATACTTAAATTCAGCAATATCTACTTGTTTGATCATTCTTTATAAACACATTCACAAACTTGCAGTTTCACTGATCAGTCAACGCACATGAAAAATCTCATTGCCCATAATTGTATTTGTTTCAAAGAAATGTATCTATGCACAGTATAGAAATATAACAACAATTCAAAAGATCTATGTTATATTGTTGTCAATTATTTTTTTTTTATTCTTCATGAAAGGTATATTTGATTTTCTGTTGAATCAATACAAAGGGATTCATGTGAATTTGAAAATCTATCTTCTGGCATATTAAGTACTTGTTATTCCTTCATGTCATGCCAAACCTCAGCGTTTACTTCTGCAATAAAATACTGAAATACTATGTATGTACACATATAAATAGATTTAAAAATTGCTTCTTTCTTTCTCCTTTGATGCTGCTATATACTCACCTTACCTTGGCTTTTGATGTTTCAAATCCATCACCACTGTTGATGACCAGCTGCTTCATGTTTATGTAATTTTGCTGTTATCACATCACTTCCTCAGAACTTTTCTTTCTGTGGCATTTTGCTTACCTTTTTCTTGGTTGGCTTAAAAACTATGTGTAAATGTTGACAAAGCACAAGAACACTGTCACTCATCATCAATGATTTCTCCTTTTGTTATTCATCACTGTGATTCAGTTTCACCTTAGTCAACTGAAGACGAGCATCGTTTTCCTCTTGCTGTGGTTACGCAGAAAAGTACACCTTTTTAAGAACATGACTTCATTGTCCTGTCCATGTGGTTGTTAACTAAATGTGCAATTGTATGAGCATGAACGCTCATCCTTGGCTTTGCAAAAATGCAAGGTCCAGTTGCTGGCTTTTTATGGAGCTTTCAACTGCAGCTCACTTCTTCAACAGATTAAGTTTGCTCAGTTGTCATGAAAATGGTGGTTGTGGTCAGTGTATTGATAGACTAGGAAGTTGTATTTGCCACACTCTATTTACTGTAGCTTAGGTGATGACAACAGAGCTATTTCAATGGCAACTGAAATAACTGTATCCGTTCAGGAAGATCGTGAGATGAGGCTGAAAGCACCAGAAGAAGTTAGTAAGTGAGCTCAAAGTTTAAGATTTTGTAGTGTGAGTGTATTCAGATGCACAGTGGGCTACTGTGTTTTATACACCTGTAACTATATAGGCTGCAATAGGCCTGCACAAAAGGGCCTCCGGGTTTCTGTTAAAATGAAACTGATGAAAGACTGATATTGGACTTCTTTGTCACATATTTCACATTAAAAGTCAGTGTGTGGAATTTAAAATCTCATTACTTTGGTGCCATCTGCTGGTAGAATAAGAACCGATCCGAACCAGAATCAGAATCAGCTTTTATTGCCAGGTATGTGTATACAAACAACTAATTTGACTCTGGATTGTACATTGCTCACAATGTACTTACTTATACAATAATACAATAATAAAATCAGACAGAATAAAATCAGACCCAGGGACATTGATGACGATGGGCTGAAAAAATTATATAATGTATAAAAAACATATAAATAGTCATACAGAAACTTTTAATACCAGTGTCAACATTTAGGCTAAATTGTAGACATTCACTACTGGTTAAAAATCCCTAAATTGTTTTTACTTTGTTTCACTTTTTGTTAAATATCATTTTATGTGTCATGCATCACTCCTGTAAATAAAACGAGGTTTCCAAAAACCCAGACTCCTCGTTCCAGTCTATGGACAGACTGCATGTCAAGCTTCTCACATGATCCAGCAGAGAGCGCAAAATGCCGGGGCGCCGAGCATATAGATGCTATACCAGGTGTCGGCTCGGCTGCAGCATCAGCACCGCTCCTCCTCCTCCCTCCCTCCTTCTCCCTCCTCCTGTCCGCAGCATCTCTCTCTCTCTCTCTCTCCGACTGGCAGAAACAGTGCAAGAAGGGAGAGAGAGAGAGGAAAGACGTGCTTGTGTTTCGTTTTGCAACTCCTGCATTTGACCGACATTCTTAAATGAATCAACACAAGAGAAACCTGGAGGTAAGTAGCACAACTGAAAACATCCTGTGGGTATTTTTGCAAAGATGCTTGGTTGGCCAGTATCGGTTTCTTGAGGAAGTGTCGCACGTCTTTTTTTGCTTGTACGATTCTGGTCTCGGTACTGACTCGGTTCGCTCAGCACTGTCAGCTGAATATGGATTTGATCGTTTATTTTCACAAGCCCGATGCAGTATAGTTTGTGTGGGAATTTCACAGCCTGTTTCTGCAAAAGACTGTAGCCTATTACGGAACTTGACCCGCAGATCGTACTGTAAGTGGAACAGAGAGTATAGCGGGGTTGGAGAGAGAGAGCGAGAGAGAGAGAGAGAGTGAGGTCAGACAGGGAAGAGCAGGTTGGTGTGATGGATGGAGCAGGTCAAGTCTCTGTGGGTGATGATGATCAGACATAGATTATCCAGGCTTTAGACCTGACTCCAGATATATGATCCACTGTACTGAATAGTGACTAGGAAGAGACTTTGAAGGGATGTGTATTTATTTTTGAAAGATTGTTTATTATTTGTTATTGATTCATTTAGTGGTTTCTGGGAACTATGATATCTAATTTCTGGCATCAAGTAGGAGAAAAGAAATCCCAAAGCCCCTTCCTTATGAGTTTTTTTTTCTTTAAGATGCCAATCGTTTTTATAGTTTAGTTACAATGTTAAAGTGCTGTTATGCTGACTCAGTAATGGAAGTGGTTTAATGGAGCAGTATGAGCAGTAGCTATGTGAAATATGAGAAGTTGAATTAAAGATATCCTCGTGTTCTGACTAATCAAACCTTCAAAGAAATCTTTTTTTTTGCACATTTTACCCCAGACGGTGCTTTCAGTTAGTAAAATGCTTCCATTCTCATTCAGTCTGTCTATTCTTCTCGTTCTTCATTTACCAAGAAAGGCATGAGATTGCCCTGCTCCTGCAGCCGCACACACATAATGATCTCATCTCATAATCTTAACTTCTGTGCAAAGCCCGATGAACCTTAGTCAAATCTATAGTATTTTGTATGTGCTTTAGTTGTTTCTGCAACAATTCTCGTGTCCTCAGTCTCACTTTGAGGCTACTTAGAGGTGTGGTGAGGAGAGGAAAGGCAGGAAGGGATTGATCAAATAAAGGTGAGCAGATAGAGGGTGTGTCTTTCACACTCAGCTGCCTCTTGTCCTGAATGATCGGTGTCTGATGATCAGGTTGTTCTCAGTTTTCCTGTCTTTGTTAAGGTGCATCACTTTGTTTACTTGACAAAAAGATTGTATACTTGTTTCTAAGCTTTTCAGCTTTAAACTGTAATGTCTCACTAGTTTAAGCATTTGGCTGCACTGCCCAAACACGTGGTCGATAGATTCGGCTCTGAGATGTAAAATATAAAATTTGTGTGGGAAGTGTGTTTTTTTTGTTTATTATCCATTATTGATCCCAATATCAGATACTTCCCTGCATCTATGGATCTTCCGGTCCATTTTGCTAAACCTAAGCAAATCCCTCTTGGTCATGTTATTGTGGAGGTTGCATCAAAGCAGGGCAGCAGAGCCCGTGGCCTTGGCTTGTAACTGCACACTGTCTGCTGTAGCTGCTGTTCCAGATGCTGATGCATGTGTGATTGATTCATTACATCTGACCTCTGCAATGTCTGAACAGCGATCAATTCAGCAGATCTCCACCGGGAAAGCCACTCGCAGCAATGTATGTGTTTGTGTGTGTATGTGTGTGTTAGTGATTGGGATCAGGTGCTTATGTATGTGTGTGTATTTCTGCAGGTAAGACAGTTTGTCACAAACCCCATGAGTGTAGCGCACTGGTGCGACCTTCAAGGTCATTTTATAGGACATAACAGAGGAGATGAAGGAGGAGGCAGGGAGAAAATAGAGATGATAAGTGAAGTGAAGGAGAGAGAGGAGTGAAAGTATGTCAGTGTGCCTCTCATTTCCATGTGGATTATGTGAATTTCCAAAGGTTTTTTTTTTATGTATGCATTGCTTCTTTTTCTCCTTTGTTTGGATTATTTTGCAAATGTTGGTACCAAAATTCTAAATGTAGTTAATTGTGTGTGTGTGTGTGTGTAGAGAGAGAAAAGAGAGAATGACAGAAAGAGGAAGAAGCTGCATTTATTTCATTAAACTATTGTGATTACTCATAATTAAACAATTTGGAGGTTTCTTTTTGATGAGGTGTATGCTTATGTGAGTGCATGTGTGTGTGTGTGTGTGTGTGTGTGTGTGTATGAGAAATCAGTGTGAAATCAGTGTCAATGAAATGTCAACACACATCCAAACACACATTCTCAAATTCACGCTGTCTTTGTCTGGAAGGTGCCAATGAGCTTGCTGTAGCTCCTCCCCTGCAGTCACAGGCAGGACATTAGAGGGTGAACAGAGAGGCACGCCTCCACTGATGGCATGCACACACACACACGCACACACACACACACACGCTTCCCTGTCCTGTGGGGAGAGGACATGAAAGACCTCTTTCAATTGTGTGTATATGTGTGCATCCATTTGCTAAATTTGTGCAGTCAGTTTAAGGGAAGTACTACAGATTTGCGGCTCCGTTTTTTAATGTATTTTTTGTGTACTAGGTCATTTCAGTTATATTAGTCAGCAAGTTACAGCCCTTATTAAGCAAAATAATGCTTCTCTATGAATGAACTTAAATCATGAGCAGTGTGAGCAGCAATGCTTTTATACGCAGAACTGTAAAGGCTATATTTGACTGTGAAAAGCCACAGTAAGTCCAGAACATTCATTTTTTATGATACCTCTCAATATTGTGCCTCTACATTCTTTTTAAGTCTTGTCTGTGTTCCCAAAAATAAACTCATCTATCAGAACAATGGCAGCATGTGTGAATCCTTAAAGAATTCCTCTTTAATTTCCCAAAGGATTCCTTTGCCCCTGCTTGTACTCTCACCTTCCTTTTTCCAATGTATGACATTTAACAGTATTTTCATTATTGTCACATATACACACAGCCAGTTCAAACCATTACCAGCTTTTTTTGCACATCATCACCACCCCAAAACCCTCAGCTCCCTCCATTCTTTGCTCACCTCTCACTGATCCTTTGCCAGTTGTCCCTCCCCCACACCCTTGGGGTTCGCCACTCGCACATTACACATGCATACGCACTCTTACACATTACAATACAAACTAGAATCCCGCCACATCCCCATTTCTTTCCACCCTCTCCCCACTCTCTGCAGCATCATTTGTTTCTTTTATCGTATTTTCCTAAAATAGACAGAAGTGACTCAGCCTGTCTAAGTTGAACTCAGCTTTTCTTTGTCTGTTTTCTCTCTCACCTTGCGAGCTTTATGTCCGACTGTTCATGTCTGTGTGTGTTTGCGTGAGCATGTGCTAACTTCCCCTACAGCCCCTCGGAGATTTCCACTGTTGTTGAATTCTTTGTCAGCGACTGCTTTGCGTTTGAAGTGAACTCCTCTCCTCACCGCTCCTCTTTGTCCCCTCATACAGTGTTGCCCACCAGCCATGCAAGAGTTAACATTTTTTTCTGCGACAGGAGTGAGGGTGGTGGGTGGAGAGGCTTTGCTAATAATGCGGTGCAACCAGCAACCAGCGTGGACAGACACCCTTTTCCTCCTCTCTTCCATGCCACCCCTGTCTGGATCTATGTTAGTCTGTGTTTGAACCGCAGGGCTCAATGAACCAATCAACACAAGTCTTGCGTCTTCCTCCTCCTAATTCTCTTCTCCAGACTGTAGCAGTTATGCTAATCTCCCTTCCAGTTCCCTTTGTTTTTTGTTCCCAATTAATCTTATTCCCATTGTCATTTCTCCTTTCATTTCCTGAACATTTGTCTTCCCTTTATCCCTCTCAACTACAATCCATCCTCACAGGCTGCATAGCACAGCAAAACCAGTCTGGGAAGCAGGACCATGTCGGATTAAGTGGTGATTCATTCCTAGTACTAGCCAAAAGCAACACTGGAAAAGAACAATTAGAAAATTTCATCACTAAGTGTGTTTTTGTGTGACAGACCTCTGTTTTGAGACACATTTTCTGCTAGTGAGAAGCTGTCTCTTTGTCTCTGCTCCTGCTGCAGTGATAGTCACTGGCTGAGTGTTTGTGTGAGTAAGTGGTACTCATGTTGCTCTACATGTAACTTGCATGCACGTTTAAGGCCACTTTTTTTTGGTTCATCTGTTTCCTTTTTTTCAGTACAGTTTTTCATCTAATAAGTTAACAAAGAAACAAACCTTGTGTGTGAAAATTTGCTGATGGACGGATGTGTGAACACGTGCCTTTGTTTTATTTTTAATTTCTCTATGGCTAATAAATCCTATTATTGGCGTATTGTGATTTTCCGGTGATTTCCTAGCAGGTGGCAAACACTGCCTGCCTGTAAGGAAATAAATCAGCTTTTATTGCGGATGATCTGATTTTCACGTTCTCCTTATTCAGTTAGGTATGACCACCCACTATGACCTGAGATCCTGCAGAAATCCTGTTACAGTTCCCCCCTGTGACATAGAATGACTCCCTTTGGGGTACAAAAAGGTGGCTATGTATGTGGGAGTAGAGTGGGAGAGAGAGGCCCAACGGCGAGAGAGAGAAGGGATTATTTGGGCAGATGTAGTCTTCTGATGTGCTGTCTATGAGGATGAAAATGGGATTGATCACTTCGCCCTGCCCTCGTTAACTCTGTATTATTAAGGTGGAAAAGTGGATGGAAGGTGGGAAAGGAGGGGAGGAAAAGATGGAGACAGATATTAAAAGATCTTTTGTTGAGAAAGGGATTAAACAGATGGGAATCACTGAAGGGACAAAGCTTAATTGAATACAGTTAGAAGCTATATTGTGCTGCAGCCAGGAAAGCAAAGATTGTTGATAACAAGCAGTGCTGCTGTTTTTTTGTTTTTTTGGATGCTCATCTATACATAAAGTACAGAACAAAAACCAAGCAACTGGATGGATACTATTTCTGGATATTTCCCACTTCTGCTTCACTGTTTTCCATGATGGTAATCCCTTTGTTGTGCAT